TCAGTCAGACCTAGCTAATTGTTAAGCACGGTCTAAACTAACACTATGGTTAGCACGGTTTGTGCAGGTAGAACCGAGATAAGAGCAGTGAAAGGAAGAACCGAACTAAGTGTAGTTCGGTCTAGTCTGCGGCTTAGCATAGCCATGTTTACCTCAGTCACAGAAGTCCGACCATGGTAAAACCATCTCACTTGGTTTGTGCAGTGAGGGGGGTGTTGAAGGATAAGCATTATCTTTCAGGAGTATGAATCCCAGGAGGACTCTACATGGAGGAGTAAAAGTCCTACTAGGATTGTGCCACACGGAACCTACAAAAGCTCACAAACATCACCTATAGAGAGGTAACACAACTTTGATTCCCAAACACACAGAGCTTTTTGTCTATTTGTCTATTTTGCTGACTTAGGCATCGGAGAGGTATCCGGCACACACCCGCCGGCTAGCTCACGTTTGTGTTTACAGGGAGTAAAGCGACGACGTACGGAGGAGCGCAGATTTGATCAACAAGATTATATAGGAAGAATATTTCGTGCCCGTACAATATACAAACATAAATTTTATATAGAATTTTCAAACACAATGATATAACTTAATGGTGACCTTTCACTTTAAAACAAAACACCCATAAACATGATTTATATATTTATATTTAATTTAAATTTTATATACTTATATATACAATATAAATTACACTGACATCTTCTAAGATTTCTGTTTAATACAAATTCCCTCCTTATATTTGAAAAATTATATTCCCCTATCTGAGGTTTGTAATCTCATTATAAATTGTCCCCTGAATTGCTGACGCCATACTCTAAAATTTTCTAAATGACCATCTTGTCCTTTTTCCTACCATTTCTTTTTCCTATTGTCATGATTACATTTTACAAATTTTCATCACTAAATTCTACCTAAACATATTCCTATTGAGTGATGATATACAAACATAAATTTTATATAGAATTTTCAAACACAATGATATAACTTAATGGTGACCTTTCACTTTAAAACAAAACACCTATAAATATGATTTATATACAATAATATTACTATCACAACATTTTTATGATATTTTTGTATAAATTTTTATATATGAATATAATTTTTCATTTTTATTTGCGCAATTATCTCTAGAATAGATCAATTTAATTTAGATATATTTAAAAAGTATAAAATTTTAATAAAAAATATCTAGATTAGGTGTATCTAAAAAATAAAAAATTGCTTAAAATATTAAAAAAATGAAAAAAAATGAAAAAAAAAACTCAATTTTTTGTGTGAGTTAAACCAAAGAAGATGATTGATATTTCCTTTGAAATGATATGAACAAAATATATATTATTTTATTATTTTATATAAGAGGCAAACATGTCAATTTAATTTGACAAGGGGGTAAGTGTAATTTTTTAAATGTGAGGAGGGATTTGTATTAAAAAGAAACCTCAGGGGGTGTCAGTGGAATTTACCCAATTCAAAAATAATATTAAAGAAAAAATCAGAGTGGTGGCTAAGATGGAGAAGAGGTGACTGGGGTAGGAAATCATCGCCGTTACTCGGCCATGAATGAAGGTAGAGATAGGTTGCCGATGTTGTAAATGATTAGGGAAAGTGTGTTGGAGTTAATAGTGACTCGTTTGGGACAATGGGGGTGAGAGTAGGGTTAGGGTTTGGATATGTACTTCGGAGGTTAGAAATGATACGGATAAAATTGAAATTTTGTATTGGGTTAAAATTGTAATAAAAAAATGAAAGAAATTGAGGTCCAAAAGAAAAAAAATGAGGTGCTACTTATCTATTAACCCATTAAATAATGGATCAAATTGAGTTTGTAGATAGGTGGATAAATTCTAAACCTTTGAATAAAAAGAGAGAGACTTCTCTCTGGACTGGAGCATATTGTTGGCCCATGGAACCTACCATGGGTCTTGTTTCGATAATTCGAACTGTTCAATGTGTAAAACTCGTCGAGTATTTTATGCCTGAAAAAAATCACGTTGATTGAATATTAATAGCCTCTTGATCGAAACACATTTTTGTTAACAAATTATTTTTAAAATCATATTTACCATTGACAAAAATGTAAAGGGTTTAGATCATTGAAATGTGACTTGTGGTAAGCCCCACGACCCAACAGTATGCTCCAGTCACTACAGTGGACTGGAGAGAAGGCTCTCCAAAAAAAAAAATACCAAAGTGGCACAAATTTGAAACCCAGACTAGACATCCAGTTTGGTTCCTAACAGCAAATTAATGATTTATGAGGGATTCGTAAAGAATTTAATCCCTTGTCGGAGACTTGCATCGCTTTAGCCACCATGCAATTCTATCTCTCCCTTAGAGGGAGGGAAAGAAAAATTAACGATCATAAAATCCCAAACTTCACCCACAATTCTATGGTCATCATCTTGTTACTTCTCAGGAATATCAGTCAACTAGAAATACAAAAACGAATTACATACTACACACAGTACAAACATTACAACTGGAGAAATTTCCCTTAGTGCACACTGCACAACCTGACTTACTATCAACACATACTAATAAATCAACACAATTCTATCCAATTTAGATTTCCAGTAAAAGCGATCAACATACTCTGCCATAAAATCGGGATTTCCTCAAGCCTAATTTGGGCTGAAGGAAGATTTTCAGGAATCTAAACACACAATAAAAAGTCATCATTAATTTGTCTTTTTTGATGCAGTATAACTGGCAAGAAAATCAAGAAGTTGAAGGTGGTTCTCACATATAACAACAACAACAAAACCATGCTCTTAAAGACCAATAAAGCATAACCATCATTATTACAACCCCAATCCTTAAAGCTACATTGCCTTGGCAAATTATACTATACAAAACTGAGACTGACATTATATTTTCAAGAAAGCTAAAATTGCCACCGACAGATCCGACAAGACATACATACAATCTGCTAACAAACCCAGATCATTAAAACAGGTACAAAACATTGCCATTCAGCCTTTGGATATTTATATCATTTAAGGCATGAAAATCAGAGGATGTTTTCCTTTCATCTGGCAATGCTCTCCAATTCTACTGCTGTAGCGGCATTTCTATATCCTTGAACTAGTGGATTTCGAAGCATGCTGATGAAGAAACACAGATATTCAAGTTAGATGTCAACCCAGTAGCCACAAACGGCAACTTATAAGTAGTGCTCAACATTGCAATACAAAAGCTCATTTTTCTTGGTTCTTCATGACATTTCCTGTAGCAATTCCTACAGTTTTGGAATTGACATCATATGACGACAGGACCTCTCTCTGCAACAGTCATTGACAATAACTTTGTTTAAGAAATACATGGTCACAGCAAGCTAGAACTTCTTAGAAGAGTGATAAGCAAAATATTTAATATTAACAGTATTGCAAGAGTTGTCACGTGAAGCATTTCACCATATCATTGAAGAAGAAGAATACTTACAATTGGCTCAAAATCAGGGTTAGACAAGTTTGATGGTGAAGGGGCTAAACGTGAAATGGGTCGGGTCCAAGCCTTGGGCCGGCCCAATCCACTGAAGTCCAAATCCAAGTGGGTTGGATGAGTATATGGGCAAACCAATTAAGCCCAACTTTATGACCAACAGTCCACCCAAGTCCTCAAGCACTTGGGTCCAACCCGCAGTGGAAAGGCTAGTCCAGCCGTGGTGCTGGGCTGGGCCGAGCTGCGAGACTGAATCTACCGGCCGAATAGAAAATAGGCCGAGCCCATGCAAAGTTACCTGAATGGACAAGCCTATCTCCATGAGTGATCCTGTAAAAGGCCGAGACAAGGCATAATGATGCTGAGCTGAGGAACATTGGTACCGAGCTGAGGAAACCTCGCAAGGAAATGTGGAAGCTGTGAACGTGTGCATGTGCAGGTTGCCACCTCAGCTGGTCCCCTACACCTAGAATCATGGAAGTTGTTGAGCCAAAGGAATGTGGTTTGTTATCAGCATGACTACAATGAGTATACGCATTTATTGGCAACTAACAGGTGGTCCCCCACCGTGAGCAATGCCAAAAGGACACCTGGCAGCATCCAAGCTCCATAAATCCACCTTGAGAAGCAAGCAAGGAACAACATACATATACTACATGAACTTCACATTGAAGGTAACTGAATAGAACTGAACTATTCCAAGCAAAACCATACTCAACTCCTTTCTCCGATCACTAATTCCCACACCGAAGGGGTCATCCGGCCAACCCCGGCCAGGTAGCTCTAACGGTGCCTCTTGTCGTACGAACTTCAGTCCCTAGATAGTCCAACCGAGTGCGGAGCCCCGATCCACTTTCATCTAGTGTGGAATCCGGTACGCACAATTGGTGCGGTGAGCGTGGACATTTCATCTCTGAGCTTTGCACTCAGTTCCGGCGATGGGGATTGAGGATGTTCCACCTTCAACAGATACTCCACAGACAGAGAAGACGAAGGATAAAGGTTTGGCACTCCCAACAGTCCCGGAGGAACAAACTGGAAACAATAATCGAACCCCTGAATCCGTCGAGCACCGATTACCCTTCGCTGGAGGCTCCTCTCATCACTTTCTTCTGGAAAAGGATTATAGAGATCGCATCATAGACTCCATGGGGGTGGAGATACAGAAGTTGAAAGCCTAACTTAAGAGGGTGCTGGGCGATCTAACAGAAAAGAAGACTGAAGCGGAGCCCTCTCGTTTGCGACGAAGGAGCTCATCCAGAGAGCCACCAGTGAAGAAGTTCCCCAAGAATGAGTCTGGGCAACAAAGCCAGCCTATCCCGGTACAGAGTGAGGCAGCAAGTAGTCACACCCGTGGGTCATGCCGAAAAAGGGGCAAGAGGTAGAAGACTGTTAGTCAACAGACCGAATATCCTCCTCAGGACCTTCGTACTTGGTTGATTGGCAATAGGCAAAATGAACAACATCGGGATCATCTGGACCGTACTGTTCACCAGAGGGAACATCGAGCGTTGGACAGGCTCGTCTCTTCGCCATTCTCCCCGGAGATCGAGACCATGAAACCTCCAAAGAAATTCACCCCACCAAAGTTCACTTCATACGACGGGAAGTCGGACCCGATGATGTCTCTATGGAACCGAGATGAGGCACTGATGTGTAAAGTCTTCCCATCTAGCTTGGGAGAAACTGGACTTCAATGGTTCGATCGTCTCGCCACTGGATCGACCCATGGCTGGAAGCAGCTCTCCGAAGAGTTCCTAGCCAGGTTCGTCTCCAACACTAAGATCTCGAAGGAGCCGGATACACTGTTTGGCCTTCGAAAAGAGCAGGAGGAAACGCTGCGCAATTATGCTAGGAGGTACTGGGAAGAATACAATGACCTGGAGGAAAATGTGTGCAGCGAGCAGATGGTCGTTATGTCCTTCAAACATGGTCTGCGCCCGAAAAGTAAGCTGAGACAATCACTTACCAAGCGCCCGGCCACAGCTTTGAAAGACTTGCGCGCCAAGATTGAGCAGCACGCTTGTCTCGAAGACGATCAGATCTCCATCAAGGTAGCGTCAGCAGAACAAATAACTCGGTATAAGAAGAGAACAGATCGAGGAGAACACTGAGGGATTGCAGTAAATGAGGTGGATAGTCCAAATCCCATGAAGCCGTTGTGACTGTATTCAAAGAGCCAATCTATCGAATTCTGGAAAAGATCAAGAGAGAGCCGTTCTTTGTTTGGCCGCCGAAAATGTTAGGAGATCCAGCTCGGCGTAATCAGAAGCTCAGATGCACTTACCACTAGGGGTGTGCGTGGTGCGGGTCAGTGCGTTTTGAGAGAAAAATAGAAACCGTATGGCGGGTGGCGGATTGATAAAAGTGTCACTAGAATTTGCCATTTTCCTTATCAAAAACCGGTGGTTCGGTTGGCAAATAATGGCGGATTTGCCTTGGCGGTTCGGGCGGATTGGCGGTTTATAAAAAATATAATTCAAATTACAAAAATTGAATCAAAGAGTAAAAAAAAAATGAGAGATACCGTGATGTTAAGCATCTTGCGAAGCTTTCTTCTGATGCAGCAAGTGTAGCAACAACATGATAATATCAACGACTATGCCATCAGTTCATTACAAGCATATGTGGAAGCTACAATAATCAAATACAATACATAAAATTAATATCATTCAGGGTTTACAATATATTGAAAATGTTTACTGTTGAAAAGTATTTAGATTGAAAAGTAAGCTGATGCAAGTTTGCAACATGGCCAAAAAAAAAGATTGAAAAGTGAATTGGAATCTAACTTTATTTTGGATTACTGACATCTTGAATTCCCCTCGAGCAGTAATATAATACTATATTCTAAGGTATAGAACAACAAGCAAACTTAAGTAAAAAAGAATTTTTAGAATCTTATAAAACATGATTTAATAGCGGTGCGGGTCAGTGCAGTTTGGAAGAAAAATAAAAACCGACGGATTGATAAAAGTGTCACTAGAATTTGCCATTTTCTTACCAAAAATTGGCGGTTCGATTGGCAAATAATAACGAATTTGCCTTGGCGGTGCGGTTCGGTGCGGTTTTGGTGGTTTCGACGGTATTATGCACACCTCTACTTACCACCAAGACAGGGGGCACGTGACTCAGAACTGCAGGGCACTGAAGCAACACTTGGAAGACCTAGTGGCAGCTGGACACCTAAGGGATTACATTGATCAGGATAAGGAAATGACCGAACCAGGGAACCCACCACCAGAAGCAAACATTGAGCATCCACCTCGGCTGATAATAAATGTGATCCATGGGACAACGATTCAGGAATCTGAAGAGGCACTAAAGGAAGAGATTGCTAAGGTTGCACAAATTCAATGGGTCATGTCAGTGGAGCCTGTATAAAAAAAGGTACGTATAGTACCTAAATCCCCCTTGTGCACAGTTTTATTTACTAGCAAAGATTTAGAAGGCATACAGCACCCACATACTGATGCATTAATTATAACTGTGGGAATTTGGAAACGATTTGACGTAAAACAAGTCCTAGTAGATCAGGGCAGTGCAGCAGACATACTATATTATGATTTATTCAGAAAGCTTGGTCTCTCCGAGCAGCACCTCACCCTAGAGCCAGCCCCGTTGGTCGGTTTTAATTCACAACCAGAATGGCCGCTTGGCAGAATAGTGTTGCTAGTCGTGGCGGGGACAAAAACCCTCCAGATAGAGTTCTTGGTTATTAATACACCATCCCCTTACAACGCCATATTTGGCCGTCCATGGATTCATCGAATGGAAGCAGTCCCTTTAACCTATCACCAGCTCATCCGTTTCCCAACGGAACACGGAGTAGAGCAAATTTCAGGGGATCAAGTTGCGTCCAAACATTGCTTCATGGCAGCATTAAAGCCAAAACAGCTCTGCAATCGAGTACAGACGGTAGAAGTGGCCGAACAGCCAGTTTTGGAAGATGTAGGGGGAACCCCAGAGGAAAAGATGGTAGAGGATTTGGAGAAAGTCCTGATGAAAGAAGACGACCCAGAAAAGTACTTCCTTATCGGTACCTCACTAGGCGCTGATGAGAAACTTCTGCTGGAACTGCTGAGGGAAAATATGGAGGTATTCGCATGGTCAACATATGATACTCTAGGGTTGGACTCAGAATTTGCTTGCCACAAGCTCAACATCAACCCTTCAGCTTGGCCTATTGTGCAAAAAAGTCAAAGATCGTCAGTCGAGCACACCGAAGCAGTAATTGCCAAAGTCAAAAAACTCCTGGCTTCAGGAGCAATCAGGGAAGTTCAGTACCCGCAATAGCTGTCCAACACGGTTGTAGTCAAGAAGAAGAACGGAAGATGGAGAGTTTGTGTTGACTTCACTTGCTTGAACAAAGCCTGCCCTAAATATAGCTTTCCGCTGCCTCGCATTGATCAACTAGTGGACTCAACAGCAGGGCATGAGCACATGAGCTTTCTGGACGCTTATAGCAGTTATCATCAGATACCACTGTTCGGTTCGAATCAAGAAAAGACAGTGTTTATCACTCCAAGGGGAACTTACTGCTACAAAATAATGCCATTCGGCCTCAAGAACGCCGGGGTAACCTACCAGCAAATGATTACACGGATGTTCAAGGACCAACTGGGAAAAACCATGGAAGCATATATAGACGATATGGTAGTAAAAAACAAGTTTGCTACAGACCATCTTGCAGACTTGAGAGAAGTTTTTGGCATCTTGAAAAACCACCAGCTTCGCCTCAATGCCTCGAAATGCGCCTTCGGGGTAGGAACAGGAAAGTTCTTGGGATACATGGTCACTCATAGAGGAATTGAAGCGAATCCGGATCAGATCAGAGCGATACAGGATCTTGAAGTACCAACAAAGGCTAAGGAACTGTAGAAACTAGCCGGAATGGCGGCCGCACTGAATCGGTTTATTAGCAAATCCTCAGATCGGATGAAGCCCTTTTTTCAGCTTTTGAAGAAAAATGCGGCATTTGAATGGAGTAGTGAATGTACCGAAGCACTGCAGAGTCTCAAAAGATACCTCAGCACACCTCCTCTACTGTCCACTCCAGAACTGGGAGAAGAGCTGTACCTCTATCTAGCAGTCTTAGATCATGCCGTGAGCGTAGTGTTAATTCGAGAAGTTGACAAGGAACAGAGGCCTGTCTATTATGTCAGCAAGACTTTACTAGATGCCGAGACACGGTATCTACCGTTGGAAAAGTTAGCATACGCGCTGCTTATCGCCTCAAGAAAGCTGCAGCATTACTTCCAGGGGCATACCATTAATGTCCTCACTGAATTTCCCCTCAAATCTGTATTCAGCCGAGCCGATTTCTCTGGCAGAACAGCAAAGTGGGCGGTAGAACTTGGTGAGTTTGACATTCGGTATCACCCCAGGACAGCGATCAAGGCCCAGGTCTTAGCGGATTTTGTCGCAGAATTTGCTCCAACCCAAAGTACCGAACTGGGGGATCCAAGTTCGGCACAAGTGCCATACACCACTGAACAAGGAAAGCCTTGCGCTTCGGAAGCCTAGAAACTCTTTATTGGAAACATTTGGCAGCTCTATGTTGATGGATCGCCCAATAACCGAGACTCGGGGGCAGGAGTAGTACTTATTTCACCAGAAGGGTTTATTTGGGAACAGGCTCTCAGACTCGGTTGGAAGGCTTCAAACAACGAGGCCGAGTACAAAGCGTTATTGGCTGGCTTACGTAGCGCCGAGCACTTCAGTGCAGAACAACTTCTTGTTTTCAGCGATTCACAACTAGTGGTTAACCAGCTTTCTGGGGTCTATGAAACACGAGATGAAAGAATGGCTATGTACGCAGGCAAGGCCAAGGACCTGCTTAGAAAATTTCAATCCATACGAGTATAACGAATCAGTCGGGACAAAAACGGCCACCCCGATGCTCTGGCATGCCTCGGTTCATCAGTGGATACAAAGGATGCCAGAAGAGTTTGGGTTGAGTTTGTGTCAGAACCAAGTATTGCATCTCGAGTCCTCTGCAACAACTTAGAGCCAAGCTAGATGGATCCAATATTTGCTTTTCTGAAATCTGGTACACTCCCCGAAGACAAAAGGAAAGGCAACAAGGTCAGACACAAGTCAGCTCGGTTCTGGATCTCACTATCTGGGAAGCTTTACAGACGCTCCTATCTTGGCCCCTACCTCCTATGTGTACATCCAAATCTCGTCGTGAATGTTCTCTAAGAAATTCACGATGGGATTTGTGGATGCCACGTTGGCAGAAGGTCACTGGCACACCGAGCCCTTACTCACGGGTACTGGTGGCTACGGATGTAAAAAGATGCACAGCAATACGTACAGAAGTGTGATAAATGTCAGAGATTTGCTTCACTCATCCATCAGCCAGCCAAAACTCTCACTCCACTCACCAGCCCATGGCCCTTTGCGTAATGGGGTCTGGATATTGTAGGACTATTGGCGCGAGGCACTGGGAACAGGCGATTCTTGATTGCTGCAACCGACTATTTCACTAAGTGGGTTGAAGTTGAGGCACTGGCAAATATCAAAGAAGCAGATACAAAGCGGTCTGTTATGAGAAATGTGGTGGTGCGTTTCGGCATCCTGCGAGTACTGATTGCGGATAATGGAACATAGTTTGATGGAAAGATCTTCAAAAAGTTTTGTGCCGACCTCAGGATTGAGTACAGGAACTCTTCTCCAGCGTACTCGCAAAGCAATGGACAGGCAGAGACGTCAAACAAGACCATCATCAACGGAGTCAAGAAACGGCTTGAGCATGCCAAAGGGAAATGGGTAGAAGAGTTACCCCACGTGCTATGGGCATACCGAACCACCGCACGGCGCTTAACGGGGGAAACTCCTTACTCCCTAACTTATGGAATGGAGGTCGTCATCCCACTCGAAGTCGGCCTCCCAACCCTTCGATCCGAACTGTTTGAGAACACCAGTAATGAGGAAGCTATTGCACAAGCACTGGATATGGCAGAGGGCCGAAGAGAGGCAGCGCTGATCAGACTTGTAGCGTATCAGCAGCGGCTCATCAAGAGTTACAACCAAAAGGTTTTCCCAAGGCAATTTATACCAAGAGAACTGGTCTTAAGGAAAGTTATGGATCACAAAAAGGTGCCTGGCG